TAAATTTAAACCTCAGCATATCTGGAGTATAATCATCGCATGATTTAAATCGGTGAAAAATGATTTTTTACCATCCCAATTTATATCTTTTAAGTACATTACGTAATAAAAGGGTTAAATCAGCTTTAGTGATTTATAACATTGTGATTTAAATCATGTGCTATCCCTACTTAAAAGAAATTACTGTATCTATATTATCTATTGATCATGTTACTTATCACGGTATATCAATATTCATCTGATCCGGAATATTTATATGATTGTATATATATATTTTTTATACTAATAACGTAGTTTTTAAATAAAAAATAAGAGCCGTGGAATAAACAATTTGGATTAATATGAATAACACGATCAATGAGCACTCACTGATAACTATTACTGTATTAGGGGGTTTCAAACCTAAGGTTTCTGATTTCGAATTAAATTAGTGACGTATTAATTTTTGTATCAGCGTTCTATAAATCCTATTTCTTTTTATTTGCAAGCTTTAAGTTTATCAGTGTTTATTAAATGAATAATTAAACCTGAAGTCTTGACAGTACTCAATATAAGGTAATGATAACACGTTAAGTTAGTAAATAATTTCAAATAAATATTATTATTGTTCAAGCAGTTTGTATTGTTGTGCACTATTTTGATCAGTAGAAAATTACTTGCCGCCTAACCGTTGAGTGCTGCCAAAAGATAAAACTAATAAAAGGAGAAGGTACGGGAAAATGCTATATATTTAGTTTGAAGAAATGATCTATGAGTACGGTATATTACCTTTGTCTATCAGTATGAAAGTAGCTTACTATCAATATCTGCACATGTGATGGAATGGTAAATGGCGCACAGGGTATTCTTCGAAGAATTATATATGATAATACATCAACTATTACGGAAAATGAAGAAGTTAATGAGAAAGAGATTATCTTTAACGTGCATTTTCTTAAAAAATTACAAAAAACTTATTTAACAAACTTACATACAAAATGATACGAATTGCCATAAAACTTCAAATTACTATAATCATGCCACGCGGGCGCGCAAAACAAACTAATTACACAAATCAATTCCGCAACAAAATATAAAAAAATAAAAATCAATCCCTTAATCAAAACAATTAAATAAATAACTAAAATATAAAACACCAAGTTAAAAATAAAAATTTCAAAATCAACAAATAACCAAAATAAATAATAACAGAGTAGTGTGATCGTGCTGGTCCTGCGCCGCGTCACACGCTGGGCAGCTACCCTAATTGTATAAATGTTTAGAGGTTTAAATATTAAGGAGCCTGAACAAGTATATTGATAAGATCGTAAAGTTAATCTGATGGCTTTATAATTACGGGTCTATGATTTAATGCATGGAGTACATAAATTAAGTGGGGAGATTTTAACCCAGGAAATTTGTCCTTTGAAAATTTCAACAACCATTAGCTACATCGTCACCACAGCAAATTTGATAATATCAATCATCAATTTATTTGAGTATTCCTGTCAGTACTGACAGTTCAGTGTCAACATTGTTGATGATTCTGGCCTTACTGTGAGTACTAGTGATAACAACAATAATAAGGATTCCATTAATAATGATGGAAAAAACATTATAGGTGTTATTGTTAATATTGTTAGTTCTGAGATGAGTATTATTTTATTATAAATAAAGGGCCTTTTCGCCCCACTGCAATAGAGATTCCAATCGCAGAATTTTCAAAGTTCATTGTCCTTCATACTTTTAATGACCCATTCCCAATAATCTACTAAGATCCATAGTAGAGTCATCATTGTTCAATTGATTACTGTGCTCACATGACTGATACACTACCCTGAAGTGCTGATGACCGAGCCTTGCTTTATCAACTCGCCAAATCTAAACGTCTCTTTTGATAGGTTGTCTTGGTGGTTGTTGTTTGGTTTGTGGGATTTTTGTTGAATTTATAAATCTCCAGTAAACCAGTTTTCCCGTGTAACAATAGTAAGTTATCAATCCAATTCTATGGCTTGTATTAATTCCAATAGTTTGTCAATACTTTGTCCAGACTTTAAAACGTTTAAACGGACAAACACTGAATTAGATGGTTTAGATTATTGGAATTTGAACCAAGTTAATCTTAATATGAAAAGATATGTGGACGCTCTTATCAATTTAATAAAACAATTGAAATTGAACTAAAATTGAACTAATTGATAAATCAAAGATTTAAATTCACTGCCAACCAATGTGCGAAATTCAATGTTCTCAATGTTCTCCGAGAACACTAATAAAATTTTAACATAATTCATTAAAATATGATCTCTATGTGAGAACATTAAATAAATTTTCTTGATATTATACAAATTTGATTTTTCTATATTGGAACATTAAAAAATTTTTTGAGAACGTTGAGGACTAGAAAAATATTCTCAATGAGAATATAAAATCAAAATTGAATTTCGCACACTGCTGCCAACATATTAAAAGGTTAATTTTATCTAAAATGTATTAAAAATATATTCTTTATATTTTGGCTTATTATACTTTAATTTTATCCATAGATTAAATTTGGAAGTTACAAAAAAAAATAGTTTACTTTTTTTTTTTTTTGTTTGTATTTTATCAAATTGCTTCATACCTTTTGACATTAAATAAATCTTTGGTTAAATAATAAAATAAAAATACGCAAATTTTCTTAGATAGGGCTACTGAGTACTAAAAATTTTCACAATATAATAAAGTCGCTTATATGGTCTATATACACGTCACTCTGGTTGTAACGACATCTAGACTTAAAGACATTTTTTTAGTGCCCCAAGGGAACCTTGTCATCGGGATTTCAATTCAATCTATTTAATTTGTGAGAAAATTTGTCCAGCACAAAGTATAATTGAATGCCTGATAGCAGCTTTCCCTGAGCGCACACAAATAATATGAAATATCTCTGGTTAAAAAGACATTTGGATAAATCAGAAAATTTCTTTAATTTGAAAAGTGTAGATATAACCGGAATAGTGACGTGTGAAACTAAATTTTTCAAATAGGATGTTATTAATCTCACAGAAAAGCATCCTTTCCTTTTTTTTTGTTAAGGCCACACCAATTTGATTCTATGTTTAACATAAACCCCCTCTATTTTTTAAAATTTTAGACATAAAATAAACACTATTTAGCCAATCGAATTGCAGTATTAGCTTTTGAAAATTTTACATTTTGTTCAGCCAATAGAATTGCTGCTTTTTTAGGGTTGTTGTTTATTTTTACCCCCCCCCCCCCCCCCCCCCCGTCGCGCACATTAGGTTTACTTGTTCATGGCGCAAATGGCAATAAGATGATGTGAGGACAC